AAAAAAATGTGTGGAGAGTTGATTTTATTTCCATATTTTTTTTATTTTTATAGTTTTTTTTTAGCTTAATCAGAGAAAACAATATTTTGTAGTTGTGTTCCGTAAAAAATGTGTTGAACCACCAGTGACAATTTTTACATTAAAACCAGTATTTCCCATTTTTTTCATATAAGCAAAAACAAATCACCGTATCTTTTTCAAGCGACATCGGCGGCATTGGCTGCGTATAGAATTAAAATTCACTTTGACAACGTTAATCGACTGGAGATTTTCACAGTAATATGGAACCAGATCACAGTATCTGCTGTTCGACTTGGACAATTTATGCAGCAAAGCCTCAACGCGATCATTGTTGTACACAGGTGTTGAAACGGTTGACGTTTTTTACTACACTCGCTTCGTTGTCGTGCGCGACAGTCTGTTTATATTCATACCAGTGCGCAAAACAGTCAGGTTCATTGAGTCATTTTGATATGAAGATGAACTGCCATTTGCCTCATAATTCACTGCCTCGTGAGAGTCTGAATGATTGAGAGGTAAACGAGTCACTGACAGCCGAGCACTCAGTCAACACGTTTATTCTGCCGTGATGGTACCCAATATTTGTTTTGAATGACTGAGCGTACATTTTCTATGGAAAAATAACTCAATTACATGCTGTGTGAGCGAAGGCAAGCGGTGTGCGTCGCCTGCTCGTGAGTGACTCAATGTTTTTGTTGGCTCTTTCATTGCCTCGTCCTTTACCGTTTGGTACAAACGGTCTGCACAGAGCAATGGATTGAATACACTGAGGCAAATAGACTTAAGAATTTTATAAGACTCGACTTATGGACGACAAATATGAATTTCATAGGCGCGACTTATGAAAGATTTTCGTCTAACATAGCGTAGCTCTTATACGCCTTTAACCGTTCCATTTTCTTAAGCGTTGAAAAACGAGTGGTCAATACACGGGCTCTGTAATCTCAGCGTCCATGGTTCGGTTCCAGTCTGCTCCGATTTATTATTTTTTAGTCAACATTGTTTTTCATAAGGCAAATCAATGAAATTCATACTAATTTCCTGTGGCTAAAATTCATAAGTGTTTCTTATGGAATTCTTACGATATTTTAATTCATATTATTATAAATTCATATTTGTCGTCCATAAGTCGAGTCTTATGAAATTCTTAAGTCTATTTGCCTCAGTGTTCAACTCTGCACACCTCAATCTGGACCGAGAACTTTATCTGTACCGAAAACTGTGGCAAGCGTTGGGTCGAGTGTGCCGAAGTGTGGCAATCAAGCTGTCGATCTCAGTATCCCATGAGTTTGGCAACCCTGCAGTTATGACTTTTGAGATTGTTTGTTTACATTGCCAAGTTCTCATGGATGGTTAAACGAGCTATATCTGAGTATATTGCATAGTATATACGAAGGTAATCACTGTGCCTGTCCTGTTAAAAAAAAATTTTTCCCCTATTTAGGAGATTTTCAGCCGCAGGCTGGTTCATCTCCGGCCTGTTAAAAAGTAAAACGTGCATCAAATAACACGAATGTGAGTTTTTCTTTGTACAACTTTCATTCTTCTTGCTTTAACGATGATAAGATTGATAAGCGCGAGATCGTCGGCCACTGCTGGAACTGTTAGCCAGTATACGCTGAACGTTGCCAACCATTAAGTTCAACTCCTCCACGAGAAGGAGAAGGGTGAGTGATGGCAGAAGCTGTCCATCCAGGACAAGAAATTTCTTTACCGTGTCTCATTCTGGTAGACGTTTGCCGAAACCTGTACTTATGACCCACCCGGCAAGTGGAAAATGTACCTCTACATTATTTATCATCATGGTACTCGGACAATGCTACAACCTAGAAATCAAGAAGGATTCGACCTAAAATTCCCACTGGTGATAGTAGAAGCAGCAATAGACCTTCAGTTACTTCCTAGTGTTGGCCTTAACTTTTGGGTACTGAATTCATCTATGTTTGCTAAACATGTTTTGGTGGGAGAGTCAATCGACTACGTCCATGGGTTTGAACCTTTGAACAGCCTAATAAATAAACAGGAGATCCTGGAAATCACTGAGATTGTTCAATAACAACACAAAAATAATCAGTGCTGCTCTTCTTCATTCTCATGGCTCTCAACTATTTACTTTTAATCCGTTTATCCTCATCGTTCATCAAATAATTTCCAGCAGTATGCAAATGCGTATCTAGGATCTAGATACCGGTTGTCAACGTTTGATTACTATCTTCTCTTTGTATTTGCTTGTTGTTCCTTCATGACTTTCATCCTTACTTGGTTTTGCCGGAATTGCATACGCTGCTGGCGGTTCCGATCGCGTTTATAAATATCGCGATTCAGATTGGCTCCGTCGAGGGCTCCGTTACCTTCGGTGTAGTTACCATCACAATTCTGTTGGCAGCATTAAGAAGGAATCACTCGTTTTCTCAGAACGGCCGTCCCGGTCGCGTTCTCTCCTGTAGCTTTTCTACGGTGAGGAGACGATTTTTCCAAATCCGTCCTCACTTGCATTCAGAACGGCCGTCCCGGTCGCGTTCTTATCCTGTGGCAGTGCCCCCACGAGGAGACGATTTTTTTTTTCAAATTCGTCCTCACTCGTTTTATCAGAACGGCCGTCTCGGTCGCGTTCTCTTCTGTGGCTTTGTCACGGCGAGGAGACGATTTTTGCAAATCCGTGCTCACTCGTTTTATCAGAATGACCGTCCCGGTCGCGTTCTTATCCTGTGGCAGTACCACCACGAGGAGACGATTTTTGCAAATCCGTCCTCACTCGCATTCAGAAGTCGCGTTCTTATCCTATTTTCCTTGCAAGTGGGTGATTTGCCTTTTTATTACCTATCGGGGGTATCCAAGATTCCAGGTTCGTCTCCTGGCAGGATCGCCAGAAATGTGAAAATCCGCCAATATTAGTTATGGGCAAATCACCCACGACGCAGCTTATCAATGTCCAACTTACCCGTGCAGCAGCATGAATCCAAATGACCTTCACCAACTGTCAGGAAATGTGTATGAAAGGTCATGACCTACCTAGTTATTATCCATCTCATCGGACACTTGGTTTTAACGATCCGAAGCACACGAACGCCAGATACTGATTGAGGAATGGCGGTTTTCCTTCGCGCTTTTCCCATCCCATTGCTCTTCTCTTGAGACGTTATTTTCCACCCGTTTTGAAATCACAATTTCGCCCGAATGTTGTTGTACCCACTGATAGAATACTCATACCCACTGTACTGTTGTACGGTTTTATACAATTTTCAAATTTAAAACAATTAATCCTACTAACAAATTAACAATTTTATACAACGACTACTAACCCTACTAATCCAACACCAATTAACCTTAAGAGACGTGACGGTACATTTAACAACTATGCACAAATTAAAAATCTAATATGATTTGTATCAAACGGTTACAACTTCTCCCTCAAACAACACCATGATGACGTCATGCTCGTTTGGCTACATTATACTTTGCCTCCGCTTATCTATGGAATCTGTAGTATCTATAGTGGAAACTAACTATTTTAAATTGGCTCACTACTTGACTAGCCTATTGGTCCCAGGTACATCTATAAGCGTATCCCATTCCAGTTGAAATTCTAGTAGTACACTTCATCTTCTTCTTTCCTCTATTTAACGTCGGTCTCTGTTCCGCAATCTAGTGCCAATAACCGACGAACATCGATTGCCATCCATTGACGGCAATCGAATGTGCAGGAAGGCAGCTTCCACACCTGCGTAGGATATCGCACCCATTAAATTCAATACACATTGGCCGGGACCAACGGCTTTACTTCCCTTCGGAAGGAAGACGTGACCAGAGATTTTTATGCCTCAGAAAAATCCCACCGAACTCGGCTGGGATTGAACCCAGACCCATTGGGGTAAGAAACTAGTAGTACACTATGTTTGTTTTGATTCGCTATGAAAGCTTGACAGATAAAATGAGGGGTTCATGGATTTTCCTATGCTTCGAGGGGTGCATCGATTAGCTTAGGACCGAAGAGAGTACTAGAGCTGAGCCAAAAAGTTGAGCACGTTTCTTCGGGACCTTCTAGTCTTAGAGTAATAATGCAAAGTTTCATGCAAATCGGAGAAGGTCAAGTTTTTTTTTCATATTCGACATTTATCGTTGAACTGCCAATGCGAATGCATTTCTTTCTAAGATATGGTTTATGTTTAGCCCCGCTCATCTAGACAATTTAAAAATAAAAAAATGACTAAATTTCGTGTTAATTCCTTTTAACTTCGGATATTGGATCACATTCGAAATTATTGCTTGCCATTTGTGTACAAGTTTTGGACTGCACGTTGAATCCATCGGTGATGAAAATCGATTTCGATCGGTTTCTTTGATTTAAACAAGTTTATTCAGAAAACCGACTAAACTAGCAAGGCTGTGATGCCATAGTCTGAAAAGCAACCTACGACAGAAAAAAAAAATCAGCAAGTTGAATTCAATAGCGCACATGTGCAGACATTTCAAAGCGCCACCTGCTGAGCTCATACGTGAATCTTTCGGAAAGCGTGACACCTCTGATGGCCAGCAGTGAGTGTATTATTTTTAGCACATTTGTCAAGCAGAAGGTCCTCGGTAATCCTTTTGTTATTTCTCCATCTGGCGACGAAACATGGCGAAGGCAACGTTTGACCAGTACTGAGGGCAGCCTCCCAGGATTGACACCTGAAGATTGAGATTAATGGACAATCTAGGCAGTCTGGGCTCGCATGCTTGCTTGCATCATTGCTGTATAACGGACACGTGGAAGTGTCAATTAGCTTTCACCATGTTGGCAGTCACTACACATTCGCGCTAGTAAGAAGTGTTTTGCATAACCTGCAGGAGATTTTTGTGTGCTGACAGTGGGTAGAGGAGTTGTGAGGGAGGAAATAAATTTAATTTGAATATCCCGTACTCCCGTGATTGGAGATAGATGGCAGTATAAAATCCGGCACCGGCATGTGACTTTCATCCAGAAGTGAAATCGAAGCCCAACAGTCAAGATAGTCCACATTTGCCTGTGAAAATTGTGATACTTTAGGATTTTAGTTTTTAGTAACAGTGAAGCCGAAATGTTCAAGTTATATTTCTTTTTCAACGTGGTCTGCATTTTCTTGGCCATACGGAGTGCCATCAGTGCGGAAGTGCCAGATTCAAATGTAAAATCGGTGTGCTTTGTTTGTTGGTGAACTTGGATGATAACCGTTGTGTCTACCTTGCAGGAGCAGAAAATTACAAATTTCCTTTCCTCGGTGAAAGACAGTGAAGGCTTGAGCAAACGAGCTGCGGCAATGTGGTTCGGGCCCCGTCTCGGAAAGAGGTTCGTGTGACTAATTTCGTTGACATTCATTGTAAGCACCAAATGCGGTTTTACTTTATTCGTAGAACGATTTCATCGGATCTAAACGAAGAATTGCTCGAAGAAATGGATGGAAATCCATTGTCATACTCTGGGGACGCGCCTCAACACTTGGCTGCGGAACTCGCCCAAGGAACTCCGTACGTCGTACTTCTAATGACAGGCCGTGTTCTCAAACAACCGCAACCCGTATTCTATCACACCACAACCCCGAGACTTGGTCGCCGTGACGCATCGGCGAACGATAACAACTCCAGACCACCGTTTGCTCCACGACTTGGCCGCAATTTGCCATTCTCTCCCAGGTTAGGCAGATCTTTTAGTGTCCCGGCACTGGATAGTTTCGGTTACTAGACTGATGGCACCAAGAGTGCGCCGCCCCCCGAAGCGACTCAGTAGGCCGTTTCTATTGGAGTTTTTTTTTTTCAAAATGGCTGGAATCCGAATAGAACCGGCCTACTGAGACGGATATTTGTATAGAGAGATATTTTGTGTAACTAAAATAACTGTACAATACGAGATTAAACTATCAACGATGACGAGAGTATGTATTTTCTCTTCACAGTGTAGCTCTGGATGACAAAACCATTGCTTGTTCAGATCCACCATTTGATCCACGAGCACGCGACTGTACAAAGTAAATGCTTGCACCATATCAAGATGCTTCGATGTTAATAAAATATTCATTGGCTCGCGTACCTACTTTAGTCTTGCGGTTAACAATCGGTTAGCTACAATAGCTATGAACAGAACTTTCATGTTTGATATAATATTAGAGACTACTGCAATCTTGAACGAATTTGTGTGCGACAGTTCAACCGAACGATTTCAGTGTTGGATGGAATAATTGTTCTGAAAGTGGTCGCTCACGATTTAAATTTGAAAACGCAGCCTTCATCCAAGCCATGGAACGCTTCCCAAGTAACATTGCAAGCTTTACCGAGGTTTTAAAAAATTCCACAACTCCAAATCATGGTCTACAGAACCCTCATTGTTTCTTGGGTTTTGAACAGGTAGCGGCCATGACAGCCTACAGTCTCAAACGAAACAACCAAATGAAGCTTACTTCGCAGACCGTTTGCCAGTTCACGAACACCATCTTACGCGATTATTATCACCTTTTCGAAAAGACGACCAATTTTCCCAAGATCGGCGAATGTAAGGTACTGCCAAAGACGTGTTACGTCAAGAACCATGTGCTTAACTCGGATACTATTCCACTTTATCTACTGACCGGCTTGTGGAGGTTATCCATAGTTGTAAGCACAGTTGCTGGTGGGAATAGTCTATTCTACGTTAACCTATACTTCAAGGTTCAAATTGCTGGTTATTTTAAAGGTGGTACATTGTTTTGTTTTTTATTAGTTTCGCCAGTCACGTGGACAGAATAGCCATAGACACTGCTTAACAATACTTAATTATATTCTTAAAAACTAGTTTTCTATTATTGGTATCATAAACCCCATACACGTCAATAGCAACATTTACTAAAAGATTGGATATGGTGAATTGGGTCGTGTATATTGATGTTCTGAAGCACGCAACTGCAATCGGTACGGTTACTAGGCGTGTCAATAATGAACTCTACGACGAAGTCAATTACGATGGCTCGACGTTGTTTGAAGTTCGATAAGTGCGCATCTAAGTTTTTTACGGAGGTATGCTTTCAGGATTGATCCATGGCAACGTGTTTTGACGTAGGACTACGTCTGTGATTTCTATATAGAGGTACACTTTGAGAAAACCAAAAAATGGAACATGTAACAAAATTATGAAAGATTTTGAAAATTAATAGCTCAGTTGCCCCTGGACCAATTTCAAAAATTTTATCACCCATCGATCTGAAATATTTCTACACATCGATAGCATCCGACTGTTCAACTAGAAACTATTGAAAAAGTAGTAAATGTCAAGCATTGTCCAAATGTACAAATAAACAGTGATAATTTTATCACTGTTTTCATGAAATAAACCTTCTTCCCAAACCTAGTCGTCATTATCGAGTAGCACTTGGTTGCACATCATTCTGCTTTAACTTGAGAAGATATAAAAGAGCGCTGCTGTCCATCCAGCCTCAACTCATGTTCGCTTCAGACGGCGTGGTGAGCAAGCAGCAATAGCAGCAGTAGGAAGGTGGTGGCAGGTTAAGTAGTTCACTCTTCTTCCTAACAAGCAACAATGACTGGTCGTGGCAATGGAGGAACAGGTCTTGGTAAAGGAGGCGCCCAGAGTCGATGTTATAATAAGAGTCCCGTCAAGAGAAAATGTTGCGAACAAGCAGCACTGTTTGTGATTTATTTTTCGTCAGAGTAACCAGGCAACCAGATTTTATGCGTTAGCATCGGATGACTTTCATTCATAAGTGAAAAATGTCATATCGATAACGAAGCTTCAGGGAGACAAAAACAATTATATAACCTGAAAAATATTCAAACAAATTCTTAGTTTAACTTATAAATAACACAATGTACTAAATACAGCGAAGAAATGTTTTTCATCTAAAATTACTAAAATATTGTCAGTAATGAATGATATAATGAATAATACACTGGCTGTGGGAACAATAATGTGTATTTAATTTGCTTGTTTGGTACCCCGCTTGACAGTTCGATTGGTACTTCTGGCTTCACTCTTGGCGGGACTCTTATTATTACATTGACTCTGGAGGCGCCAAGTTTCATCGCAACGTTCTTCGTGAGAACATCCAGGGTATTACCAACAATCAATACGAAACTAACAATTTTGAATTGGCTCACTACTTGACTAGCCTATTGGTCCCAAGCAAACGATTAACGTACCCCATTCTAGTCGAAATTCTAGTACTACATAATGTTTGTTTTGATTCGCTATGAAAGTTTGACAGATAAAATGAGGGGTTCGTGGATTTTCCTATGTTTCGAGGGGTGCATCGATTAGCTTGGGACCGAAGATAGTACCAGAGGTGAGCCAAAAAGTTGAGCACGTTTCTTCGGGACCTGCTGGTCTTAGAGTTACCTCTATGGTATTACCATAGAGGTAACTCTAAGACTAGAAGGTCCCGAAATAACGTGCTCAACTTTTTGGCTCAGCTCTGGTACTCTCTTAGGTCCCAAGCTAATCGATTCACCCCTTGAAAATCCACTAACCCCTCATTTTATCTGTCGAACTTTCATAGCGAATCAAAACAAACATTGTGTAGTAGTAGAATTTCGACTAGAATAGGGTACGTTAATCGTTTGCTTGGGATCAATAGGCTAGTCAAGTAGTGAGCCAATTTTAAATCGTTAGTTTCGTATTGATTGTTGGTATTACCAAGCCGTCGTCTAGCTCGCCGTAGCGGTGTCAAGCGTATATCTGGTCTGATCATCTGATGATCTCATCTAGTAACATAACCAACAAAGCAACTACCCCTGTGTGGAAGTAGAACCATCGCGACGATCAGCAAAACGGAAACAACCAAGCTTCTAATCCTGAAGCAACCGAGCCGAGACTCTTCTGAGTGTTCATTTCTCGTACACAGCAAAACATTAATATTGATTTCACATCAAAGTGGATGCACTTCATGTTGTGAACCAGACAAAAGCGTAATATTTACCCTTAACTTGAGTTGTTGTGGTAAACAGTGTTTTAACGAGTGTCAGCTTCCATCCTTGATTTGTATTGCTCTTGATCTTTCTTTAATTCTAAATATAACTATCACTGGGTGCATACGTATTGGACTTTTATTCTCGTCAGGTTATGGGCCCAGACATGGGTAGTTTTTCCATAATCTTCGGTTTTGTTTTATTCGAAACACGAAACGCTTAAAGTAACGTGGAAGTGAAAAACAAAATAACAGAATTTCGGCCGCGAGTGTGCAGAAAAGTGCAGCGGAAAACTCGGTGGAAAGTTGGACGGCAGATTTTGGCAGGAACGACGTCATTTTGTTTTGGAGACAATGGAAGACGAGCGCACGCAGCGAGTCTACTTGTTCGACGGGGAAAATTACTCGACGTGGAGCTTTCGTATGCAAGCATACTTGGAAGAGTTGGATTTACTGCATTGTATCGAAAAGCCACGGGAAGAGGAAGATTTTTACCCGGATAATGCAGCAGATACGGCAGCGGTGAAGGTGGAAAAAGAAGAAAAACGGAAGAGGCGGAAGCAAGAAGACGCCAAGTGTAAATCTATCCTGATTCATAAGATAGCGGACGTGGAGGCGAACCAGCCCCAGGCTGAAAGCCTCCCTAATAAAGATAAATCAATCAATCAAGATAGCGGACTCACAGACGTGGAAAGACGTCGCCAAAGGCTATTTGGACAGTGCTTCAACACACTTTCGAGCAGAAAGGTGTTTCCGGAGTGTTTTTCTTACTAAAACAGTTGACTGGCATGAAGTATGGTGAGTCCATGGCGATGGAGAAACACATTCTGTTGTTCGAGAAGATTATGCGGGAACTGGAGTCGGCAGGAATTAAATTCGATGAGCCAGTAGTAGTGGTTTTTCTTATTGCAATCCATGCCAAAGTCGTACGAACATTTGATTACCGTACTGGAGACGCTTCCGGTAGAGCATGCTCCATGGAGTTCGTTAAAGCGAGGCTTCTCAGTGAGGACGTGCAAGTGCTGGCAAAGAGCTGGAACCGGGAGCGGCTTTTGCTAGAAGGAGCATATAATTCCCCTTCCAGTGCCACGCCTGCGGAAAGCTGGGGCATAAACGAAAGCAAGTGGTCGAATCGTGCTACTGAAGAACGAAAGAAGACGAAGAAGAAGAACAACTCTGGAGCGCACAGTGCTGAAGCAGAAAGTGACGATGTTGGTTTCAGTGTGAGTGTGGAGCAAGCGCTCTGCAAACTGTTGATAATGAGTTCCGGTGGGTGCTCGATAGTGGTGCTTCAGAGCATATGGTGAATAACAAGGGCTGTCTTGTGAACGTTCGGAAGCTTGAGGTACCAACCGTAATCAATGTTGCTAAGTCAGGTGTGTCGCTGATTAGTCGTTTCGCTGGTGACGTCAGAATGAGCGTGGAAGTGAACGTAAAACAGCTGAGTTGCACAGTGTACGATGTTTTGTTTTTTCCTGGCCTATATACCAAATTGTTCTCCGTCAAACGAGTGGCGGAACGCGGAATGGAAGTCTTATTCGGAAAAGACAGTGCGCGAATCTCGAGAAACGGAAACATTGTGTGTACCGCGGATCGCAAAGGTCGGTTGTAAGAACTAAACGTCGAAGTGATGAAAGTGTCGTCTGCGATGATGAGTGAATCAGAAAGCAAATTATCGCTGTGGCACCGTAGATTTGGCCACATTGGTAATGCTGGTTTGCTGAAACTGATCCGAAGTGGCATGGTTGATGAAATTAATGATAGTGTTCGTCACACAAGTAATTTGAAGGTGTGTGAACCCTGTATGATGGGTAAACAAGCGAAGTTGCCTTTTGAAGAGTGCGACAGACCTTGTTCGGCACGTCCGCAGGAGTTAGTACATACGGACGTGTGTGGTCCGTTCAAGCCGGAGTCTTGGGACGGAAAGAAGATTTTTGTAACTTTTATTGACGATTACACGCACTTTACGGCAGTGTATACGTTGAAAGCGAAGAGTGATGTGGGGAAGCATTCAAAAAGTATGCTGCGATGACTACGTCACATTTCGAACGGAAAATCGCCAGACTGCGTTGTAATAATGGAGGCGAATATATGAACGAAGAATTCAAAACGTACTGCAGTGAAATGGGAATCGTTATGGAACCAAGTATGCCGTATAATCCCCAACAAAACGGTGTCGCGGAACGTATGAACAGAACGATCCTCGAACGCGCGCGGGCAATGTTGGACGAATCGGGTGTGAATAGGCTCCTGTGGACTGAAGCAGTACAAGCAGCAGTTCATGGTTAACCGGAGCCCTACAAACGCTTTAGCAGTTGCCAAAACACCGTACAAAATGTGGTACGATCGGAAGCCAAACGTATCGAGGCTGCGCTTGTTCGGAAGTAAAGTGTTTTGCCATATTCCGAAGGAAAAGAGATCCAAACTTGACGCTAAGAGTCGCGTGTGTTATCTGACCGGTTACGGTGTTAATGGTTATCGCGTGTGGGACCCGGATCAGCGGAAAGTGGGCATCTGTCGGGACGTGGTAATCGAAGAATCTCCGGTGAAGAAGACTGTTCATCAGGATGTGTACACAAACGATCATCTAGTATCCGACCACCTGTCGGAGCTGGACGCGAGTGCTTCAATCAGAGCTGCGGAAGAAATTAAACCACCGGCTGAAGAAGAAACTGATGACGAAGAAGATGTGCCTGAAGACTACGAAAGTGCTGATGACGAAAATGTGCTTATAAGAAGAAGCGAGCGGCAGCGGAAGCTTCCGGAACAACTTTCGGACTATGAAGTGTGTATGGCGTTCGTGCTGAACGCGGAAAATTACGTGGAAGAGCTGCCAGATAACGTTGAAGACTTGCGTGAGCGAGAAGACTGGCCCGCCTGGGAAAAGACGAACGAGGATGAGCTGCGGTCGCTGGAAAAGAACCACACTTGGGACCTGGTAAATCTTCCTGCTGGCAAGCGGTTCAGCAAAACCTTCACATTCATCAAAATGATGTACGTACCGCCTTTTTGAACGGGAGCCTATCGGAAACCGCACATATGCGTCCACCTCCAGGATTTGGAAGGGGAAG